TCTAACGTGTATGTATCTGGGACACTAGAGGCTCTAATATAACGCCTGAACGATAGAAAAAGTCGGTTGACACGTGACACTCAGATGCTTGATCGTCAGCGATGACGCTGGTCACAGCTGTAGCAGGGCAAGACGCCGACCCTAATGTCTTGTTAAGGAGACGGTGCGAATAGAAAAATGATTTTTTAACAGCTTTTCGTTTTCTCTTAATGTGATTTCATAGTTTCTCAACCAATTCTGAATCCAAGGCTGAGACAAACCATCCCCTTTCAATGTGATATAAAAAGGTAGGGACATGTTAGAACATATAGAGAGTGATATAAAAAGGTAGGGGCATGTTAGAACATATAAGGTGTGATATAAAAAGGTAGGGACATGTTAGAACATATAGAGAGTGATATAAAAAGGTAGGGACATGTTAGAACATATAGAGAGTGATATAAAAACGTAGGGACATGTTAGAACGTATAGGGAGTGATATAAAAAGGTAGGGACATGTAAAAACATACAGAGAGTGATATACAAAGGTAGGGACGTGTTAGAACATTTAGGGAGTGATATAAAAACGTAGGGACATGTTAGAACATATAGAGAGTGATATAAAAAGGTAGGGACATGTTAGAACATAGAGGGAGTGATATAATAAGGTAGGGACATGTTAGAACACATAGGGAGTGATATAAAAAGGTAGGGACATGTTAGAACATATAGAGAGTGATATAAAAAGGTAGGGACATGTTAGAACATATAGAGAGTGATATAAAAACGTAGGGACATGTTAGAACGTATAGGGAGTGATATAAAAAGGTAGGGACATGTTAGAACATATAGAGAGTGATATACAAAGGTAGGGACGTGTTAGAACATATAGGGAGTGACATGAAAAGTAGGGACATGTTAGAACATATAGAGAGTGATATAAAAAGGTAGGGACATGTTAGAACATTTAGGGAGTGACATAAAAAGTAGGGACATGTTAGAACATATAGGGAGTGATATTCAAAGGTAGGGACGTGTTAGAACATATAGGGAGTGATATAAAAAGGTAGGGACGTGTTAGAACATATAGGGAGTGACATGAAAAGTAGGGACGTGTTAGAACATATAGAGAGTGATATAAAAAGGTAGGGACATGTTAGAACATTTAGGGAGTGATATAAAAAGTAGGGACATGTTAGAACATATAGGGAGTGACATAAAAAGTAGGGACATGTTAGAACATATAGGGAGTGACATAAAAAGTAGGGACGTGTTAGAACATATAGGGAGTGACATAAAAAGTAGGGACATGTTAGAACATATAGGGAGTGATATTCAAAGGTAGGGACATGTTAGAACATATAGGGAGTGACATAAAAAGGTAGGGACATGTTAGAACATTTAGGGAGTGATATAAAAAGTAGGGACATGTTAGAACATATAGGGAGTGACATAAAAAGTAGGGACATGTTAGAACATATAGGGAGTGACATAAAAAGTAGGGACATGTTAGAACATATAGGGAGTGATATTCAAAGGTAGGGACATGTTAGAACATATAGAGAGTGATATAAAAAGGTAGGGACATGTTAGAACATATAGGGAGTGATATAAAAAGGTAGGGACATGTTAGAACATTTAGGGAGTGATATAAAAAGTAGGGACATGTTAGAACATATAGGGAGTGACATAAAAAGTAGGGACATGTTAGAACATATAGGGAGTGATATAAAAAGTAGGGACGTGTTAGAACATATAGGGAGTGATATAAAAAGGTAGGGACATGTTAGAACATATAGGGAGTGATATAAAAAGGTAGGGACATGTTAGAACATTTAGGGAGTGATATAAAAAGTAGGGACATGTTAGAACATATAGGGAGTGACATAAAAAGAAGGGACATGTTAGAACATATAGGGAGTGATATAAAAAGTAGGGACGTGTTAGAACATATAGGGAGTGACATAAAAAGTAGGGACGTGTTAGAACATATAGAGAGTGATATAAAAAGGTAGGGACATGTTAGAACATATAGGGAGTGATATAAAAAGGTAGGGACATGTTAGAACATTTAGGGAGTGATATAAAAAGTAGGGACATGTTAGAACATATAGGGAGTGACATAAAAAGTAGGGACATGTTAGAACATATAGGGAGTGATATAAAAAGTAGGGACGTGTTAGAACATATAGGGAGTGACATAAAAAGTAGGGACATGTTAGAACATATAGGGAGTGATATAAAAAGTAGGGACGTGTTAGAACATATAGAGAGTGATATAAAAACGTAGGGACATGTTAGAACGTATAGGGAGTGATATAAAAAGGTAGGGACATGTAAAAACATACAGAGAGTGATATACAAAGGTAGGGACGTGTTAGAACATTTAGGGAGTGATATAAAAACGTAGGGACATGTTAGAACATATAGAGAGTGATATAAAAAGGTAGGGACATGTTAGAACATAGAGGGAGTGATATAATAAGGTAGGGACATGTTAGAACACATAGGGAGTGATATAAAAAGGTAGGGACATGTTAGAACATATAGAGAGTGATATTCAAAGGTAGGGACATGTTAGAACATATAGAGAGTGATATAAAAACGTAGGGACATGTTAGAACGTATAGGGAGTGATATAAAAAGGTAGGGACATGTTAGAACATATAGAGAGTGATATACAAAGGTAGGGACGTGTTAGAACATATAGGGAGTGACATGAAAAGTAGGGACATGTTAGAACATATAGGGAATGATATTCAAAGGTAGGGACGTGTTAGAACATATAGGGAGTGATATAAAAAGGTAGGGACGTGTTAGAACATATAGGGAGTGACATGAAAAGTAGGGACATGTTAGAACATATAGAGAGTGATATAAAAAGGTAGGGACATGTTAGAACATTTAGGGAGTGATATAAAAAGTAGGGACATGTTAGAACATATAGGGAGTGACATAAAAAGTAGGGACATGTTAGAACATATAGGGAGTGATATAAAAAGTAGGGACGTGTTAGAACATATAGGGAGTGACATAAAAAGTAGGGACATGTTAGAACATATAGGGAGTGATATTCAAAGGTAGGGACATGTTAGAACATATAGGGAGTGACATAAAAAGGTAGGGACATGTTAGAACATTTAGGGAGTGATATAAAAAGTAGGGACATGTTAGAACATATAGGGAGTGACATAAAAAGTAGGGACATGTTAGAACATATAGGGAGTGACATAAAAAGTAGGGACATGTTAGAACATATAGGGAGTGACATAAAAAGTAGGGACATGTTAGAACATATAGGGAGTGACATAAAAAGTAGGGACATGTTAGAACATATAGGGAGTGATATTCAAAGGTAGGGACATGTTAGAACATATAGAGAGTGATATAAAAAGGTAGGGACATGTTAGAACATATAGGGAGTGATATAAAAAGGTAGGGACATGTTAGAACATTTAGGGAGTGATATAAAAGTAGGGACGTGTTAGAACATATAGGGAGTGACATAAAAGTAGGGACATGTTAGAACATATAGGAATTGATATAAAAAGTAGGGACGTGTTAGAACATATAGGGAGTGATATAAAAGGTAGGGACATGTTAGAACATATAGGGAGTGATATAAAAAGGTAGGGACATGTTAGAACATTTAGGGAGTGATATAAAAGTAGTAGGGACATGTTAGAACATATAGGGAGTGACATAAAAGTAGGGACATGTTAGAACATATAGGGAGTGATATAAAAAGTAGGGACGTGTTAGAACATATAGGGAGTGACATAAAAAGTAGGGACATGTTAGAACATATAGGGAGTGATATAAAAAGGTAGGGACATGTTAGAACATATAGGGAGTGACATAAAAAGTAGGGACGTGTTAGAACATATAGAGAGTGATATAAAAAGGTAGGGACATGTTAGAACATATAGGGAGTGATATAAAAAGGTAGGGACATGTTAGAACATTTAGGGAGTGATATAAAAAGTAGGGACATGTTAGAACATATAGGGAGTGACATAAAAGGTAGGGACATGTTAGAACATATAGGGAGTGATATAAAAAGTAGGGACGTGTTAGAACATATAGGGAGTGACATAAAAAGTAGGGACATGTTAGAACATATAGGGAGTGATATAAAAAGTAGGGACGTGTTAGAACATATAGGGAGTGACATAAAAAGTAGGGACATGTTAGAACATATAGGGAGTGATATTCAAAGGTAGGGACATGTTAGAACATATAGAGAGTGATATAAAAAGGTAGGGACATGTTAGAACATTTAGGGAGTGATATAAAAAGTAGGGACATGTTAGAACATTTAGGGAGTGATATAAAAAGTAGGGACATGTTAGAACATATAGGGAGTGATATAAAAAGTAGGGACGTGTTAGAACATATAGGGAGTGACATAAAAAGTAGGGACATGTTAGAGCATATAGGGAGTGATATTCAAAGGTAGGGACATGTTAGAACATATAGGGAGTGATATTCAAAGGTAGGGACATGTTAGAACATATAGGGAGTGATATAAAATGGTAGGGACATACAGGAACATATACAAACACACAGGGACAGGTAGGGACAGAAATGAATAGGTAGGGACACACAGGAACAGATGTAAACAAGTTGGACACACAGGAACAGAAGTAAACAAGTAGGGACACACAGGAACAGATGTAAACAAGTTGGACACACAGGAACAGAGGTAAACAAGTAGGGACACACAGGAACAGATGTAAACAAGTTGGACACACAGGAACAGATGTAAACAAGTAGGGACACACAGGAACAGATGTAAACAAGTTGGACACACAGGAACAGATGTAAACAAGTAGGGACAAACAGGAACAGATGTAAACAAGTAGGGACACACAATGTAATAGCATGCAACATCCTTTCGGTGCAACAGATGGCGATAGGTCAGCGAGAACATATGACAGACTCCCTGCCAACACACATTCATACAGGTAGGTGAGGGTTGTCGCCTCCAGCAGAAAGGAGCAGATGTAAATGTGACCTACCCTTGCATCCCGCCAGCACCCCCAGGACGCTGGGGATGACGGGGTTGTACGGCCGATGCGCCTCCCCCTGCATGTACCGCAGCGTCCTCAGCTTGATCAGCCCAATAAAGTTGGACAGGTACGACTGATGTGACTGGTGCTGATACTGGTCGAGGCGGACATCACTCTCCCGCAGCGGCAGCACGCTCAGCCACTCGCGCGACACACTCGACACAGTCTCGTTGGCAATCTTATATGTCTCATCTGAAGTTATTCCAAACAAGATGGATAATGTTTCGGACAAGGATCTTTTCAGATTGAAGAACACAGTCTCCATGGTGTACTGGGCGTGACTGAACCGTGACGGGGTCGTCTCACATAGCAAGGAGTTGGGAAGAAGCTGCGTGATTGTGTGAACACACTGTTCTTCTACTGTTCCTGCTTCCTGACCATATCGCCCGAACACCCTCAGCTGCCGCCGTAAGGAGGTGGACTTGGGGAGCAGAGAGAACACCTTGGTGTTGAAAAGAGTGTGGATGAGGATGTAGCGCTTGAGGACGTAAGAGGGGGTGTTGGCGAGCAGCTCCTGCACGGCTGCACTCAGGTGGATGTGGCACACGGTGACGGAGGTGATGTCAATGCCACCAAGTACCCGGATCAAGAAGTCCGACCACGTGATCTGGTACCCTCCAAAATTGGTGTTCAGTGTGTGGATAGGAGACTTGTGGCCTTTCCAGCAGGCTCTGACGTCATCCTCCGTCCAGTCGATGTCGTCGTCGTATAACACCTGCAACGACGTCAAAGGTTCATACTCGGAAAATCAGATCACACAGGCTGTCATTATAATTGCTCACAATACGCAGACGCAATCCACATATAGACCAGACAAAATACACATATCCTGACATTACATTCGATGCACACACGCACGCATGCATGCATGCGCTGACACAACCGGTACTCACAATCACACATACAATGTCAAAACACAAAGACATAATGCACTTTGTAGTCAGTCTAAACAGTCAGGGCACATATAGACACTTGGAACACACATACGGTCACAGACACACATAGACACAGTCAGGACACACACTTACACACAACGAAACCTCACAGACAGTCAGGACACACACATACACACAACGAAACCTCACATACAGTCAGGACACACACAAACATACAACACAACCTCACAGACACAGTCAGGACACACACATACACACAACAAAACCTCACATACAGTCAGGACACACACATACACACAACGAAACCTCACAGACAGTCAGGACACACACATACACACAACGAAACCTCACAGACAGTCAGGACACACACTTACACACAACGAAACCTCACAGACAGTCAGGACACACACATACACACAACAAAACCTCACATACAGTCAGGACACACACATACACACAACAAAACCTCACAGACAGTCAGGACACACACATACACACAACGAAACCTCACAGACAGTCAGGACACACACTTACACACAACAAAACCTCACAGACAGTCAGGACACACACATACACACAACGAAACCTCACAGACAGTCAGGACACACACATACATACAACACAACCTCACAGACACAGTCAGGACACACACATACACACAACAAAACCTCACATACAGTCAGGACACACACTTACACACAACAAAACCTCACATACAGTCAGGACACACACTTACACACAACAAAACCTCACATACAGTCAGGACACACACTTACACACAACAAAACCTCACATACAGTCAGGACACACAACCACACAACAGGACACACTCACATACAGTCAGGACACACATACACACACACACATACACACACAACACACAACAGAACCTCACATACAGTCAGGACACACACTTACACACAACGAAACCTCACAGACAGTCAGGACACACACTTACACACACATACAGTCAGGACACACACTTACACACAACAAAACCTCACAGACAGTCAGGACACACACATACACACAACGAAACCTCACAGACAGTCAGGACACACACACATACATACAACGAAACCTCACAGACAGTCAGGACACACACATACACACAACGAAACCTCACAGACAGTCAGGACACACACATACACACAACGAAACCTCACAGAGACAGTCAGGACACACACATACACACAACAAAACCTCACATACAGTCAGGACACACACTTACACACAACAAAACCTCACATACAGTCAGGACACACACTTACACACAACAAAACCTCACATACAGTCAGGACACACACTTACACACAACAAAACCTCACATACAGTCAGGACACACACTTACACACAACAAAACCTCACATACAGTCAGGACACACACTTACACACAACAAAACCTCACATACAGTCAGGACACACACTTACACACAACAAAACCTCACATACAGTCAGGACACACACATACACACAACAAAACCTCACAGACAGTCAGGACACACACATACACACAACGAAACCTCACAGACAGTCAGGACACACACATACACACAACGAAACCTCACAGACAGTCAGGACACACATACATACAACGAAACCTCACAGACAGTCAGGACACACACATACACACAACGAAACCTCACATACAGTCAGGACACACACTTACACACAACAAAACCTCACATACAGTCAGGACACACACTTACACACAACAAAACCTCACATACAGTCAGGACACACACTTACACACAACAAAACCTCACATACAGTCAGGACACACACTTACACACAACAAAACCTCACATACAGTCAGTACACACACTTACACACAACAAAACCTCACATACAGTCAGGACACACACATACACACAACGAAACCTCACAGAGAGTCAGGACACACTGTCACATACCGATCCAGACACACAGATACAGCCAGGGAAACACACACACTCACACCACGAAGACACACTGCAATGTCAGATATCAACATGGACCTGGCCCCCAACAGACTGCAGCTTCCCGTGTACGCACCACACACCAGACCCATGTTCTACACCCTGACAACTCCAGATCTGGACGATCCAGTGTGGGGAACCTAGTGGACCTGGATACATACCAGATCATCTCACGGACATAGCTGAACAATGTAACAGTCGAAAACAGATCTGACAATGTTTGTTTGCCAACGACAAGATATTTGTTCGATAAAATGATATTGCATTTACACAATGAAATGAGAGTGAGTTTAATCGCGGGAGGCAAAATGGATTATTGTTGGTTTTATAGTCTTGCCTGTCGAAACGTTTGTAAATTGGCCATTTGAAGGGGAGATGTACGTCACACGAGCCGAAATGCAATTGCAACAGAGATGGGAGCTCGTGAACAGCCCAACCCCTGGTCTGCAATTGTCATCAATCTTTATACAGTGAGACACGGCAATCCGAGTTATGTTTTAGTTAAATAACCCCATGCTCACTTGTCCCCGAGGCCGCGACCCGCCAGGGGGGTATCGGAACACGGACCAAATGTGTTGACACCGGGGTTACGCGGGGTTAGTCTTCAAGTGATGGAGATTAATCACTGGGTATCATTACTGGTCCCCGCGGACTTCACGGCCCGCGAGATCCACTGTCATATACTGGCATCGATCATCGCAAAGGGAGAGAACTCTCATCGCGTCAGTCCCAATACCCTAACTTGGTTACTATGAAAGGGTTTTTGAGTTGTTATCTAGTTTCAGGAAATGCGCTCCCCGTCAGTGCCAATAAAAACAGTATTGATTGATGAGTCGATGCCAAGAAATGAATATTAAACCTACAGAAAGAATATCTTTGATAGATTGCTTGTCAAATGAGTGTTTAGTCATAAGCTTCTGAAGCTGAAACACTGTTAGTGTCGTATTAGCGGCGCGCTGACATGCCAGCAATGACACCCTGGAGCGTTGCCTACCTTGTGGAGTTCCAGCTGGAAGTAAAACACCTCCTCCACGGCCACCCTGGCGGCGCCATCTCCACGACTGCCCGTCAACATCGACACCACCGACCACAGTAGAGTCTTGAAAGCGCTCAGCTTCTTGCAAAAACAGAAATCACATTAACAGAAAAAATCTACTGTATCACAAGAGGAAGGGGGCACTGTCTGTGTCGATAACGGTACCTCGTCTAGTCCTGGGCGCTTGATCACACATATCAATTAAACTGTTACCCAGAGGCACAGCCAGGACAACTGATATCTTGGATTTTTTCTCTGATTTAATTGTTTGCTTATGTTTACTGCAGAAACAGTGAACACAACTACCCCCGGGACTATAGACTGGAACACAACTACCCCCGGGACTATAGACAGGAACACAACTACCCCCGGGACTATAGACTGGAACACAACTACCCCCGGGACTAAAGACTGGAACACAACTACCCCCGGGACTAAAGACTGGAACACAACTACACCCGGGACTATAGACTGGAACACAACTACCCCCGGGACTATAGACTGGAACACAACTACCCACGGGACTATAGGCTGGAACACAACTACCCCGGGACTATAGGCTGGAACACAACTACCCCCGAGACTATAGGCTGGAACACAACTACCCCCGAGACTATAGACTGGAACACAACTCCCCCCGGGACTATAGGCTGGAACACAACTACCCCCGGGACTATAGACTGGAACACAACTACCCCCAGGACTATAGACTGGAACACAACTACCCTCGGGACTATAGACTGGAACACAACTCCCCCCGGGACTATAGGCTGGAACACAACTACCCCCGGGACTATAGGCTGGAACACAACTACCCCCGGGACTATAGACTGGAACACAACTACCCCCGGGACTATAGACTGGAACACAACTACCCCCGGGACTATAGACTGGAACACAACTACCCCCGGGACTATAGACTGGAACACAACTACCCCGGGACTATAGACTGGAACACAACTACCCTCGGGACTATAGACTGGAACACAACTACCCTCGGGACTATAGACTGGAACACAACTACCCTCGGGACTATTGACTGGAACACAACTACCCTCGGGACTATAGACTGGAACACAACTACCCCCGGGACTATAGACTGGAACACAACTACCCCCGGGACTATAGACTGGAACACAACTACCCCCGGAACTATAGACTGGAACACAACTACCCCGGGACTATAGACTGGAACACAACTACCCCCGGGACTATAGGCTGGAACACAACTACCCCCGGAACTATAGACTGGAACACAACTACCCTCGGGACTATAGACTGGAACACAACTACCCCCGGGACTATAGACTGGAACACAACTACCCCCGGGACTATAGACTGGAACACAACTACCCTCGGGACTATAGACTGGAACACAACTACCCCCGGGACTATAGACTGGAAACATATCATGTGACATGTAGGTCTTGGTACGTCAGGTTTTACATGGTGTTACTTTATAAGAGAGTTTGCCATGATTTAAGTATCCTATGTGTACGGACCAAACATACACATATATTGTAATGTCTTCTTTCTATTAATCTTTTAAGCATGCGCTAAAGCTGGTTTTGCGTTTGTATTCCCTATGGACTCCATCCATATATTGTGGTTGAAATAATTACATATATACGTTTAAGTATAAACATACCAAAAACATATGTTTCCCATAGGTCATCTTACATATCTGATTAAAACACACAAAAACATCTACTTGAAACATATTGAAAGTGTTTTAGAAGTAAAAGTCCATGTACCTTGCTCTTCTGAGAATATCTTGGTATGAAGTCGCTCGGTCTAAGAAACTGAAAACTACCAACATCGTCGTTTAGGCCCCGCAGGAGATGCAGCATGTGGTCGGAGTAGCGGTTGATAAGCTGCAAGAACAATCATACACAGGCTTATACATCATTTCAAAAGTGGGTTTCTATTTAGGTCTTATTGTAATCAGATCAGTGCGTTCCACTGTCTGATCAGCAAATATTAATTACACACCAACACGCCATTAGCAGGGATATAATGTCCAGTGATCATCATGGATGGGCTGTGGTCAGCTGGACAATACGCTGTCAGAGATAAGCTGCTCGGTGCCTTCACTCAGAATTCTTTACTGATCAATTACAAGATGTAATAAATTTGCTTCAAGAGACAATATTAAGAGATTGGTAGTCCTCTAGTAAGAGGTAATGGTCCATGATGGTGACTCAGATGACCCATCACTGTTGTATAGTGTATATAAACAGCTGGTCGATGGCCCTTCAATTTCCAATGGCTAGAACTATCACTGTGGATAATGTCTCAACTTTCTGGCAATCAATCTTCTAGATTCCATATTTGTCCGAGTCTGTTTACGTCGTTCCTGCAGAGAGCCAACCACTACCCTGGGTTGGTAACTACAGGCATGTTCCAGTCCTCTAGTTGGTCTCTATGGGCCTGTGCCAGTCCTCTAGTCCTCTAGTCGGTCACTACAGGCCGATGTCAGTCCTCTACTGCTTTAGTCGGTCACTACAGGCCGGTGCCAGTCCTCTAGCGCTTTAGTTGGTCACTACAGGCCTGTGCCAGTCCTCTAGTCCTCTAGTCCTCTAGTCGGTCACTACAGGTCTGTGTCAGTCCTCCTGTCCTCTAGCCCTCTAGTCGGTCACTACAGGTCTGTGTCAGTCCTCCTGTCCTCTAGTCCTCTAGTCGGTCACTACAGGCCGGTGCCAGTCCTCTAGTCCTCTAGTCGGTCACTACAGGCCTGTGCCAGTCCTCTAGTCCTCTAGTCCTCTAGTCGGTCACTACAGGCCGGTGCCAGTCCTCTAGCCTTCTAGTCGGTCACTACAGGTCTGTGTCAGTCCTCCTGTCCTCGACTCAAGTGAAAGTGAGACAGCCTGGTGAGGCTGGCACAATCATCACTCATGGTGCATGACCTGCATCGTTCTCTCTGAGAACCAGTGGTTGATACTGCTCGATATACTCTGTTAAACCGCACGATAGAGTTCACGGTCAGATCGTCCAAGTCAATGGAAGTGAAAAAAAAAAGACATCCATGGAAATGAATAATGTGAGTCTGTACATACGCAGGGGTCGAGAATTCCCGAGGCCGGGATGAGCGTGGTCCGCACTAAGGACGCAGCAGAGTGAGGTGTAGGCTGTATACAACAGTTCCCTGTGATTGAGTCTGACCCACCTGTGTACTTCCGCCAGCAACTGACATGCTGCCTTGACCCCAATAGATAGATGCTGGCAGATGGCCACGCTGCAGTCGACCTGCCTCTCCCAAGGGTCAGTCAAACCTTCGAAATGCTCTTCCAGTAACAAGGTCATTTGTGTGTGTCTGTGTGGGGGGTCGGGGGTGGAACAGAGATGACTATGGTTTTGTTAAGCGCCACAGCGCCTATTTGGTTTCAATCACAGTCACAAGTAAATGGCGTATCTAAGAAGTGGACAGTGCCAACTGAACAAGGTGGACATGGAACGACCAGCCGCGACACCTTTCATAACTGTGCCACTCACACCCTTCAGCCTGTTTGGGTGTTTGTTGCTAATGTAACGCTCAGCAATATTCCAGCTGTATGACGCCCGTTTGGACCAGACAATCAAGTCAGCGAGGCTGATCACTCGATTCTGGTCGATTCTTTCGACGAGCAAGTGTTGCCGAGGACCAGTTTTAACCCGGATCTTCACCGACGCCCCAGGCACAAACAACGGAAGATCAATGTATGCAACCTGTCTTCCAACGTTAAACCACCGTTCATACGAGGGTGGTACAATTACACACATAGGTACAATATCAGACCTAATCCAGGCGAACTGATGTTGTTGGAACATTGCTAAAACGGCATAAAAGCATACTCACTCAATCACATTTGCTAATGAGTTCAAGCTGCTCTATGTGATGTGGGACCTCGGTGCTGTCTATGCAGTGGTGTTGATTATGTTGAGGGTCGTCTTGGTGGTAATGTAACACACAATTAACGATCCTCTACCACCGATTATATCATATTTATTACTGGATTAACTTGACGTTAACACATAATTTTGATGTATGGATAGAGCGGGAAACTTGTTTTTGGTAACTGATCCGATCGAATGTGAAAGCACTACCAGTTTCCAATGTCGAGCTGAATCAGCCTGATGTTGTAACGTTTGCACTGAAGAATAAAATACCCTTCTATTGGTTTCCGAAGTTTCCATCGACATCCACCGTTTATAATGTAGTTCGTCAGAATAATTTGAAAACTATAGTTCAGAATCACAAACCCTCAAGTTATTATGTAATTTACTTCTTACAGGCAAACATAGTTTTCGTTCATTCGAGACGGACAAGAGTGTGCTCTGTATAACTAAGTGTCCTGAATGTATTTGTGTAAAGACATGACAGTGAAGATGTAAAGCCACTGCAGCTCCCCCTGGTGTCGTATCTACACATCACTGTCATCTAGCCGTTAAGGTAAAGACGATAATGGCGTGATAGATGGCCACCGTGGCATTTCCACCTATAATAAAAGTTGAAATCAATCGTAGGAATTATACCAGTTTATCAAATAATCGGGCATATAATTGACTATTATCTGTTTGGCTGGAGAGTCACGACAGTTGATTCGGCACGTATGTAAATCCCCTCCTCCAGACACTCTGTAATTTATCAGTGGTAATCGAAAAGAGATTTAGCCTTTCTGATTGCCATGACGGCGGTATCGTCCTATCAGGCGGTGTCCGGTCGGCCGGCAGGGCGGACAGAAGATAGGAGTGACCATACGGACCAATCGGGCTTGGCCAGGCGCCAACAGCAGCCGTTGAGTTGCTTAGATGACAAGGCATAGGCGCCGTATTAACAAATTCCAATATTACCAGGGTCCCTCTACACTGATCGCTTATACTAACTTGATTTCTTGTCAGGAACCATATATTTCTTCTATTGTTAGATGTTTCTAAGTTGTCGCAGATTTTAATTAAGATTGATTTCTGCAACTAACTGGGAGCTACTGTCTCCCGATTCCGTACAGGGCAGTTGATTGCATGAGATATATGACGTGGATGTCGACGTCCCAAGTCAGGCGAGGGGAGATTAGGACAAATTCCATGAATGGTCCTGCATATCCCCTCATGTCCGGTCCGTGACCACTGGCCGGCTAAACCAAGATGGAGCTGACGAGATGCTTTCGCACAGCACTGCATCTCATATATCTGACCAGTGGCCAGCCAGACAACATTACCAATCTGGAGTTATTGTCGGAGATTCACACCAGGGCAATACGGAAACATCAGAACAACACATAACCTTTCACTTCTTGACCAGAAGACTGACAGAGAATGACCACCATATAACATTTCACTTTTTGACCTGAAAACTGTGAGAAAAACTAAGTATGACCAGCATATACCCCTTCACTTCTTGCCAACAACATATTTACCAAGACAGGAAGAGAATGTTTGAACAACATTTTGACATTCACTTGTTGGCCACAACAGACTCACCCAGACAGAAGCACAATGGTTTAACATCTATCTGTCATTCACCTTTTAACCACGACCGACTCTCTATGTCAGGAAGGCAATATTTGGACTTCGTGTTACCATCCACTGACCACAACTGACTTACCAAGACAAGCAATGAATCAACAACAATTACACTTCTTTCACTTTCTGTCCAGTTTACGGAGACTTGGAATACAAAGTCTGAAGAACAAATATACTTTCACTTTCTGTCCAGGTTACGGAGACTTGGAATACAAAGTCTGAAGAACAAATATACTTTCACTTTCTGTCCACGTTACGAAGACTTGGAATACAAAGTCTGAAGAACAAATATACTTTCACTTTCTGTCCAGGTTACGGAGACTTGGAATACAAAGTCTGAAGAACAAATATACTTTCACTTTCTGTCCAGGTTACGAAGACTTGGAATACAAAGTCTGAAGAACAAATATACTTTCACTTTCTGTCCACGTTGAGGAGACCTGGAAGATAACTTCTGAACAACAATTAAACCTTGACAAGAGGACGGACAAATCAAAACATTTAGAACAATATGGTATTGAAACAAACCACTACAGTATATGTGTCCAGCAAATGTTGATACACTCGTGCTACGATCAAAACCTGCAGTCGACGTCACACGCCATGAGATACTCCCAGCATTCTCTCATCTCATCTAGGATGAATAGACATTGTAACTGTGTTTGTGATATTCCCAGCATCTAGTTCATCTCATCTAGGAAGCATGGACATTGTAACTGTGTTTGTGAAGAATGTATAGCCATCTTTGAAACATACCGAAATGCTATAAAGTACAATGTGAATGATGAAAGTGTATTGGTAACAGCAGTTCATAGGGGGAAAGATTATCTCCATTTGCTGGGAACGAAATTCATCCTACCAGACATTTGAAACAGCAAGACACTCAATCTTTGGCCCATATTCACAATCCTCAAATAGGTGTGTCTGTCGCTTATATTAAGCACGTGGCAAATTTCAAATATTCGGGGTAAGGAATTGCAAAGTTACGGCTTTTTGTGACAGTGATGAAAAGCATGTAAGGTGATTGAGCGCTATTCTAACGGTCTGTCAGCCAGTGCCTCCCCACATCCCCACACAGCTGCAGATGGGACAATGGTGATATTGAGAAATGGTCAAACATTTGATTAATGACACTATCATCGCCTTCAGTGTTGTCTATTCAAACATTCGCAAGCCCGATGTTCGCAATTAACAGCTATCAATGGCGAGGCAGACCTATCTGCTATATCGTGACATGGGGTCGGTGGCAAGTCTTATCTATGGACGTCAAACCGAAGGGGTCAACCGCCAACATAGAGGGTTTAACCTCAGACCTGACCACGGAAGTTATAAACTACCCACGCACTGCACCAGGGGTGATGGGATAACGCAGTGGCTATGGCAGTATATTGTTACAATACCACTGTTGTGGAAAACCAAATAAATATTATGTGTTTGGGCTTGATCGTTATTCCGGTTTCTGGGGATAATGGATAAATGAGTGGCCTTGATATGCACGTATGATGTCGGCTGGTGGGTCTCACAGTCACCGTCGTTAGACACACACACACACACACACACACACACACAGACACATAGAGACAGAGAGAGAGACAGAGAGAGAGAGAGAGAGAGAGAGAGAGAGAGAGAGAGAGAGAGAGAGTGTGTATGTGTGTGTGTGTGTGTGTGTGTGTGTGTGTGTGTAGACAGAAGGTAGATGGGGTGTACCCATGAAGTATACGTGGTGCACACTTGGTGAAGACGTGGTATAGCCGCGATATATCGGCAGACAAGGGTATGCTTATCTGCCCCCGCCTCACCTCACACCCGCGATACATAGTAATTAGGTCATTTCCTCGGCGTGAGGATCAATGTAGCATTACGGCCAGATCTCGTCTACATCCACTAACACTAACATCCATGACTGGAATTGTGTTGATCTAGTATCAGGCAATGAGAGCCTGGTGCTTACAGCATTGACGACGTAAGTAGCCCCGTAACTGATGCCGATACAGAAGATGACAGACTGGTCAAGTCATGGAGACTGTCAGACCCGACATGGCAGTTACCAGTGTAGCAGACATCGGCTTGGTGATCTGATCTTCACCTTATTTATACAGATACAGGTCCTTATGATACAAGAGTATAAGAATACAAGTGCTTCTGATAAACTGTGACAGTTTTACAAAGAGCTTACTTAACTGGCCATTTACATCACGTGACCCGTGGCACGACCTGAGTGAGCGGTTATGGTATTGATAGCAATATTGGTGTCTGGGGGGCACCCCCAGACATGGGCTTCACACATTGAATCTATGTGGGGAACCGAACCCGGGTCTTCAGGTGAGTTGAGGTGAAATCGGATTTAACGTCGTGCTTGAAAATATTTCGCTCATATGACGACGTGCATACATGCGTGTGTATGTGTATGTGCGGCTGCTTGTACTAGCCCAGACTGATGCTGGTTTTATAGTGCTAGCTCACTGAGATACCATGCCGCAGTGAAGCATGAATACCCCACTCAGACACATTATACTGACTCCGAGCCGACCAGTCCTTGTTGTACCCATTAATGCCGAGCGCCAGGCAGGGACCAACAAGTACCATATTTTAACGTCTTTTGGTATGACGCGGTCGGGGATCGAACCCGCGACCTTCCCGCTCTAACCCCTACACCACGGAGGCGGTGGGTCCCGGGTCTGCAGTGTGGCGAGCTGACGCTTGATAAGGCTACCCCGGTGTCCCACTCAGTCTTGTGAATGGAATGACATATAAATTACAGTTGTAAAATACTAAATGTATATTTTGAAAGATCTGTGGGTGGTGATTTTACAATGATTGTCTATGACTGTAAAAATCGCAGTTGAATATTATGTGACACTTGTCATAAGGACATGGATACCCCACGTAATTCTCTGACGTAATGTAGAAAGTAATGCTCGAAGCACATATCGGAGTTGTATTTTGTTAAACTGCTGCGGAATGCAATAAATCTGTTTCAGACACTGAAGTATTAATTTGTTACCAATGGAAACAAAATTCAATTTATGTATTGACATCTTGTGGGTACCAGACGCCAGGACAGCCCCTTGAATGTGATTGGTGTGTGCTCCTCACAGAGACATACAAGTCAAGGGGATATGAACCATTGTGTTCTGTCGGGGTGTATTTGTTTGTGTCTGCGCTGTAATTGACACATGTGGTTATAAATACCATTCTTTACAGACTTCTGGTTTCTCCGTCATTTTTCACAGATTCACACTAATACGGAGAACGTCGCTAATCTAGTTTTTACATCTATGACTTCAGCTTTAACATACTACCGCCATTTTCTAGAGATCCATTAGCGCTACCAGTGACCTTACTCTGTGACACTGGGTTTCCCTATTCCCAGGTTCGACCCCAACCCTGAACTATGTACTTACCGATATCTTGCTGGGCCCGTGGACTAGTACTTTAAAGAACGGCGTAGCCCCGTACAAGCGCGTGACGTTAGCTAATAGTGACGTCATATCGAAGCTGCTATCACGTGTGTTGTTTGTCAAGTGCAGACCCCCCAGGTTGTGGAAGAATTCGGTCACTGTGGAAGAAACATTCGTCATTTCAACATGTCTGTTTCCACTGGAACCAAGTTCAAAACTGCTCGAGGTACTTTATCACAGGTGATGCAAATATACGTCAGACACAATCCAATACCCACCCTACAGACACAATCAAACACCCACCCTACAGACACAATCAAACACCCACCCTACAGACACAATCAAACACCCATCCTACAGACACAATCAAACACCCACCCTACAGACACAAACACCCACCCTACAGACACAATCAAACACCCACCCTACTGAAACAATCAAACACCCACCCTACTGACACAATCAAACACCCACTCTATAAACACAATCAATCACCCACCCTACAGACACAATCAAACACCCATCCTACTGACACAATCAAACACCCACCCTACAGACACAATCAAACACCCACCCTACTGACACAATCAAACACCCACCCTACTGAAACAATCAAACACCCACCCTACTGACACAATCAAACACCCACTCTATAGACACAATCAAACACCCACCCTACAGACACAAACACCCATCCTACAGACACAATCAAACACCCACCCTACTGACACAATCCAACACCCACCCTACAGACACAATCAAACACCCACCCTACAGACACAATCAAACAGCCATCCTACTGACACAATCCAACACCCACTCTACAGACACAGTCAAACACCCACCCTACAGACAAAATCAAAAACCCACCCTACAGACACAGTCAAACACCCGACCTACTGACACAATCAAACACCCACCCTACAGACACAATCCAACACCCATCCTACAGACACAATCCAACACCCACCCTACAGACACAATCAAACACCCACCCTACAGACACAATCAAACACCCATTCTACTTACACAATCCAACACCCACCCTACTGACACAATCAAACACCTACCCTACTGACAAAATCAAAAACCCACCCTACAGACACAGTCAAACACCCACCCTACTGACACAATCAAACACCCACCCTACAGACACAATCCAACACCCACCCTACAGACACAATCAAACACCCACCCTACAGACAAAATCCAACACCCACCCTACAGACACAATCAAACACCCACCCTACAGACACAATCCAAACCCACCCTACAGACACAATCCAACACCCACCCTACAGACACAATCAAACACCCACCCTACAGACACAATCAAACACCCACCCTACAGACACAATCAAACACCCACCCTACAGACACAATCAAACACCCATCCTACAGACACAATCCAACACCCACCCTACAGACACAATCCAACACCCACCCTACAGACACACAATCAAACACCCATTCTACTTACACAATCTAACACCCACCCTACAGACACAATCAAACACCTACCCTACTGACACAATCAAACACCCACCCTACAGACACAATCAAACACCCACCCTACAGACACAATCCAACACCCACCCTACAGACACAATCAAACACCCACCCTACAGACACAATCAAACACCCACCCTACAGACACAATCAAACACCCATTCTACTTACACAATCCAACACCCACCCTACTGACACAATCAAACACCTACCCTACTGACACAATCAAACACCCACCCTACAGACACAATCAAACACCCACCCTACAGACACAATCAAACACCCATCCTACCCACCCCTACAGACACAATCAAACACCCGCCCTACTGACACAATCAAACACCCATCCTACTGACACAATCAAACACCCACCCTACTGATACAATCAAACACCCGACTACCGCACTACATACTGAAGTTAGCCGACTACCCCCATCACATACACTGCAACCAAGGCGACAGCTGTAACACACGCCCCACTTACACCTAAGTTAGTTGTATATATTGTAGCAACCTTTTGACAAAATCCTACAGAGGTCAAGGTCACAGGTCTCAACGGATTATGCCACTGCATATCCAAATTCAATTTCAATTTACAGGAAAATAAGTTTTCATTTCAAAATAAAGAAAATCAGCATTGCATTAACTAAATTATAGTTTAGAGTTGTGTCAGCTCCAGACGGCACTAGGGGGATTGTTTAGATTACTTACGCTAAACTTGGATAACACCTTGTCATTAAGTTTAATCTTTCATTACAAATTCAAATGACATGTTTTCATCCCTGAAAAGGAAGTATGGACTTCAGAGAACTTCCAACTAATCTTCCTTCGTGTCAAAAACGTCCATGAGAACGGAGGAATACCTTCTCGGTTAATTCAAAGCTCTCGGGGTTAGATGACATATTTTCATTACAAAAACAATTACCGGACTTTCCACACTGAGCGACGAGGTGATCAAAGTCAATTAATCTACGGTTTGAGCAAAAACCTCTTTTCAAATGGTTCCAACTCATATAATCTTAAGATCACTTAATTTCGATTTTTTGAATCGTTGAACTTTACAGAATGCGAAAAACGTGTGTCAAATTACAGAAGAAATTTTCAGCGGCAAAACGCTATATTGGGAAGAAAGGGCCTTTTGTAAACATGAGCTGTGATATTGATGGATGCCGCCACGCCATATAGATGAGGGCAATTGGAAGACACTTTGTTTTGCTGGTGTAAATACTTCCGAAATATCCTCATCCGATGAAAAAAACCACGCTCCTCATCCTTTAACGACGCGAAATGTGTTAAATGTAGCTATGTGTGTGTCCCTCCGTATCAGAGGTCCCATCATTAGCAGGTTTCTTTACACGTTTACTGTGGCGCTCTCCGGCATTTAACCACACCGCACACAGCTGATATATAACAGCATCAGCTTCAGGTGACTGATCTCAACACACGCTGTAACGTGGACGTCGGACACAAACTACAATGTCACTGAAGGAAGTTCTCTTCGGGAGTAAGGGTTGAGAAGTGTTGCCGACTTACACAAGTGTTAACCACCGGTTGATGACATACTCCGGTGTAGACTCGCGGTGTCCGCTGTTGTGTTATGATGTGTTGTACGTGTGTTGGATGTTGTGTGTTGGATGTTGTGTGTTCATGTTGTGTTGTGATGTGTTGTACGTGTGTTGGATGTTGTGTGTTGGATGTTGTGTGTTCATGTTGTGTTGTGATGTGTTGTACGTGTGTTGAATGTTGTGTGTTCATGTTGTGTTGTGATGTGTTGTACGTGTGTTGGATGCGTGTTCATGTTGTGTTGTGATGTGTTGTACGTGTGTTGGATGTTGTGTGTTCATGTTGTGTTGTGATGTGTTGTACGTGTGTTGGATGTTGTGTGTTCATGTTGTGTTGTGATGGGTTGTACGTGTGTTGGATGTTTTGTGTTCATGTTGTGTTGTATGTTTGTACTGTGCCGTGTTTGTTTCTGTTATATGTTTGTATTGTGCTGTATGTTGATGATTTGCCGTGTTTTTGTGTTGCCACTATGCGGCTTTACCGCTTCAGCCCCTATACGGCTTTACCGCTTTAGCCACTGTACGGCTTTACCGCTTCAGCCACTATACGGCTTTACCGCTTCAGCCACTATACGGCTTTACCGCTTCAGCCCCTGTATGGCTTTACCGCTTCAGCCACTGTATGGCTTTACCGCTTCAGCCACTATACGGCTTTACCGCTTCAGCCCCTGTATGGCTTTACCGCTTCAGCCCCTGTACGGCTGTACCGCTTTAGCCACTGTACGGCTTTACCGCTTCAGCCCCTATACGGCTTTACCGCTTCAGCCACTATACGGCTTTACCGCTTCAGCCCCTGTATGGCTTTACCGCTTCAGTCACTGTATGGCTTTACCGCTTCAGCCACTATACGGCTTTACCGCTTCAGCCACTATACGGCTTTACCGCTTCAGCCACTGTACGGCTTTACCGCTTCAGCCACTGTACGGCTTTACCGCTTCAGCCACTGTACGGCTTTACCGCTTCAGCCACTATACGGCTGTACCGCTTCAGCCACTATACGGCTTTACCGCTTCAGCCCCTGTATGGCTTTACCGCTTCAGCCACTGTACGGCTTTACCGCTTCAGCCGCTGTACGGCTTTACCGCTTCAGCCGCTATACGGCTTTACCGCTTCAGCCCCTGTATGGCTTTACCACTTCAGCCACTGTATGGCTTTACCGCTTCAGCCACTGTATGGCTTTACCGCTTCAGCCACTATACGGCTGTACCGCTTCAGCCACTATACGGCTTTACCGCTTCAGCCCCTATACGGCTTTACCGCTTCAGCCACTGTGCGGCTTTACCGCTTCAGCTACTATACGGCTTTACCGCTTCAGCCACTGTACGGCTTTAACGCTTCAGCCACTGTGCGGCTTTACCGCTTCAGCCACTGTGCGGCTTTACCGCTTCAGCCACTATACGGCTTTACCGCTTCAGCCGCTATACGGCTTTACCGCTTCAGCCACTGTGCGGCTTTACCGCTTCAGCCACTGTGCGGCTTTACCGCTTCAGCCACTGTGCGGCTTTACCGCTTCAGTCACTATACGGCTTTACCGCTTCAGCCACTGTACGGCTTTACCGCTTCAGCCACTGTATGGCTTTACCGCTTCAGCATATATTTAATACACAGTGGCGGTGCGGCGGCCTGTTGGCAAGGTTCGATTAACTACAACGGTAAACTACATGGTGCTAAGTGTTGGCGTACCGTACCCTGATGGCTGGAACATTGCTGGAAATAGCTTAACAGCCAAATCACGCACGCACGTACATGCATTAGAACTTCTTCACCTTGCAATCCTTCGTGTGCCTCTCCCCATATGACTTCACCTGGCCATTACTACATATAGAAGACGGAAACCCGTCTCACACAGTGAGGGTGTCATTCAGTGACCTTTACAGACAAGATACAGAAGTAGCGGGTAATATATACTTATTACAGCGCCATCACTGTCTGAATGATCGTCATCCACAACTGGGTTGATCCAGCCATAACATCTCCCGGTCCTATTCCATCTCGGTTGAAGGACTGGCTAACCATGCTGGTCTATGTAGCATTACGGATTCCGCTTTCATTGAATGCCAAAGCTTGATTTGGAAGTGTTAACGGCCTTTTCGAGGTGCAGTTTCCTGTTGTTAGCGGGCAAAGCTGTGAGATAAACAGCACACCGTCAAAGGTTGACAGCAAGTCGCGGTTCACAGGCACAACTTATTGATTCTACCCTTCTGCCCAACTCCACCGCCTCAGAAATTAGTGCGATGTTCTGCTCAACGTGTCCACAAGAAGACGTTTCTGTCAAAGCCGTTTAGAGAACTAAAAATATTTGACAGATTGGAGAAGTACCAGACTGAGGCATGTGGAGGATGTCGTAGAGGAGGTGGCTGCGTGGTCAGTCTGGACCAAACCGTCTCCCAAACATCAAACAAACATGCTCACAGATTAAATAGAGAACATGCGTAGCGTTTGACATGTGAGTTAGGTACCCCCTGCTTTAAGCAACGTTCCAGTAATATCACAGTGGCAGCCTACAGAGGTCGGAAGCTTTGATCACCACCCCGGTGTGTGCAGCGTCCAGGGCCGGTCTGTATAAAACAGTGTATGGGAATAAACGGAGGACTCCTCTAATTAACACCAGTACATATACACCAACATTTCCTCCAGCAATGATGAATGGCACCGGACTCCTCTTTCTGATCATCGCGTCTATGTTTATCTTTAATTATGTTTTTTTAACTTTTTCGAAACATTAAAAAAGTTGAATTTCCTGCCACAATGAATGTCTTCTGACATTTCAACCTTGACGTTCTGACATTAGAGGATTGATTTATGCTTTAAATGTAATATGTGTAGGTCTCTCAAGACGTCTACCAAACTACTTCCGCCTCAAGCGCATGTGTCTATTGACTTAAGGTCCTACTTGTGATTCGTGTGACGTCATCGACCCTTGCTGATCTGGAGATGCATGACTTGAATACGGCTCGCAGTGACTTCAGGGCCGGGCTGTCACTCTCCCCTTGCCCGCTGGATAACGTGTCTGACAACAACAACAAACAACATCCTGTTACCATGGCGTATCTCATATATCTTATAATACTAGTCAGTATCCTAGAATAATATTTTGATAATGATAAAAATTATCAGATTCTCGATTCTCGATTGTTTATATTGACCCAGTGGCAGATTGACAAGGGAAACCCCATGCTTGTTTGCAACCAATTAAAGCAGTATCCACTCTGACCTTTCGCAGTTGCAATGATATCCTTATATGCCCCGCAACGGGGGGTGGGAGTGGGGTGGGGGTGTTGCTGAGAGGAGCAAGTATGTAGACATGTGTTTACCTATGAGGTATGACTTGTATCTGTGCGGCAGTTCATCAGGGATCTCTCGTATCCGCGTCTTGTTCCACGTTAACCGCGTCCGGCTGATATAGCCACCGCACGCAAAACTGTAGAAATTCTGCAAATACAAAAATCCAAAATATGCTGAAATCACCTGTACCTATATCGAAGTATGATATTTTTTAAATTTTCTATCTTCGTCATAACATCCCCCTCCCACACCTGAGACACACACGCCGTGATGCTGATTGACACGAGACTGTAGGGTAAGGTGAAATGAAGTTTAACGTCGCACTTAAGAGTATTTCGCTCATATGACGACGTGCATGCGTGTGTATGTGTAGCTGCTTGTACTAGCCCAAACGTAAGCTGGTTTTTATAGTGCTAGCTCACTGAGATACCATGCCGCAGTGATGCATGAATACCCCACTCAGACACACTATACTGACTCCGAGCCGACCAGTCATTGTTGTACCCAGTAATGCCGAGCGCCAGGCAGGGCCAGCAAGTACCATATTTTAACGTCTTTTGGTATGACCTGGCCGAAGATCGAACCGGCGACCTTCCGTTCTCAAGGCGGACAATCTAACCACTACACCACGGAGGCGATCCGGGACTGTACTGGCTGGCAGAAGGGAAAGGAAGAGACTTGTTAAACTCTTGTACCTGGTGCCATGAATGTCCTGTGGGGTGCACGTCTATTGTCTTGTATTTTATGTTTTGTAAATGAAGAGTTTTCAATTATTAAGTAAAGATAGTCACAAAACCACGTTTTCAGCCCGAACTAACCATAGTTAGGTCACATACACGATGGTCATCGTGCTGACGAGGCACCGACGCCATTTAGAGTTTCCCTACTATTAAGTGAGGTAGAGTGTGACATCCCCGGTCAATCTGACGCTACTCGTTGTTTAGCTTTATCACACACATTAAATACAGCTCCGTCACACAGTGTAATCTGTACAGGTGCACGTACACAGTACATAACAGTTGTATAACACAAATACATCAGTTCTCCCAGCTTTCGACCAGCTAATGGTATACGACCAGTTGGACCGACAAGTTGAATCCTGTGAACAGGGCTTCATGGAGTCCGGCAAGTGGTCAGTTCCCGGGGAGTATATGGACTGTATGATTTATACACCGTCCACTAAGCGAGTTATGAAGCACTCTACAGCCACGTACTCTGTATCTCATAAATATCACTATGGCAGTCCGACTCACAAGGAAAGGTCACAACCAATTGGTCGGGTCAAGTTTAGGCAAACAGTGGCGAGGAGAATTCATAGATCTCCCGGTTCTGCTGGAATTACAAGTTTGGACATCAGTTTGGATCAACTAAGTGAATTATCGGCAAACATTTGACAGTAACTACGTCGTTTTGGGCAGTAATCAGCCCTGCTTTGTCTGGCGAACCCCTTCCTACCCCAACCCCTCGCCGTCTCGCTGAAACATGCCACTGATGGTCAAGTAACTCGATAACCGGAAATGACCTCAAATCCCGTTAATCCGGGGATCTAATCAAATATCTTATTTCCTCCACCTGCTTGCGATTCTTAGACACTCGATGGCTCGGAAATAATCGCATTAGGGGAGGCGATTCTTACACTCGTGAGCCAGGGGACAAATAGATACGGCAAATTGGTGAAGGTGAAGAGGCCTGAATTGATGGGACAATCTCGGTGCCTTTCCCTGCGACCAGTCTGTATGTGTTGATACAGTATTTGATGGGCTAGTCAATCTTCCAGCCTTGATGAAACCTGGCGTTGTGAAAGAAACACAACTTGTTTTGAATTGAGGGTCGGAAAATCCCAGAATGAACTTTAGTTGCACATTGCGAAGGGAATTAGAATTTCCATCTCAGAAAACGCAAGTCAAAGCTTTTCACCTCGTGCAAACAAGCGTGAAAGTCTCTGCATTTCCTTAAGAGCGAATGGAGACAGTTCTTTGATGATCCCCAGGCCGTAGGCTCCACACAGGACTCGTGACAATGTTTCGAATAATGAGAACTCAGTCGGACCCGGTATCCCGTGCAAGGAGTACTATCAGGTTATGCAAAGTCACAACTTTGACACCTCACCCTTTGAACAACTTGATTTCCAAATTCAGGACATAGTCAGACGTATGTGTCGACACGCTTCAGGGTCCACTCAACAATAGGCTGGTACTCGAACGATTAAAATAAATAAAAATCCAATTTCCTTAATGTCTTGTTATAGTTACCATAAAGATTCTTTTCAAATTGGCTACACTTCGGTCGATATGTAGCCAAGATATGATACAAGATGATCAAAATATCAAAATGGTTTTTGTTTCTTGATCAACAGAAATGTATTCAGACAGTCGTCAGACAACTGTAAGAAGAGACAGTAGCTGCAAACTGTGTCCACAATGAGTTGCAGTCACTCACTCACTCACTCTGCATGCCAAGTATTGCAATACCCACACCGCGCTGTGTGGATCCAGCGCTACACTGTTGGTAACATCAATATGTATGTCTTAGGTGCTCTTGGCGTAATAAATAAAGTAAATAAAGAGACTACTAATCTAATGGACAGTGTTGATGAAAAAATCTGAGTGTTATCAACTTGCGGGATACTCGAATCGTTGAGGAACAAAGCTGGAATCAATGTGGAGGAGGCATATTGAACAACAAGACCTTGGTGACCTCCCATCTCCTCAATAAGCTGTGATAAACATTACAGGTTCTGTCAATAACCGATACTTCCAGGTTCCCGGCAGGCACAAGTCGTCGATACCCGCCATTACCGACCACAGAATTCCATAGGAATGTCTTCGTCGTCTTTTCCAATAAATGAAATTCTATACTATCATAATGGATTTCGATTTTAGTTAAGTATTTTGCTAATCAATTTACTAACTGATATGGATAGCAGAAACATGCCGGAGGTGGTGACACGTTGGGGATTTATGTGATATGGAGCAGATTAACCTGGATCCTCGTGTCTGTGCGATAACGAGCATCCTCTTTTTACCGCTATGGCGGGTCTAGGGGAAGGATCTGGGTGTGGCCACCCCTCAGTTTAGCAGAACGATACAGTGTTAGTCCAAGCCTTCAACTTCATATATCCACTCTATGAGGGTCTGGGTGTGGCCACCCCCTCAGTTTAGCAGAAAGATACAGTGTTAGTCCAAGCCTTCAACTTCATATCTCTACTCTATGATGCACCATTATCACCCTTACTATCGCGGTGCGACATATCAAACGGTACGGAGTAATTGCTTTATTTGCCATGCACAATATACACCCTCACAGTAGACAATACTGTACCTTCACTCTACTGGCCAGTATACACACCTGGGGATATGTACTAGAAGTCCCTTCAGTTGAACTGAAATAGTATTATATGAAATATTCACCCCTCAACTATAAATCCCACAGCATCCTATATTTAAATCTTCGCCAGTATACAGTATACATCCCAAAGTATCATAATCCGCTCAAGAAATCCTAAAGCATCATATCTAATAGTCGCCATTACAGTATACACCCTAAAGTACAGACCGCCTCCGTGGTGTAGTGGTTAAAGCGTCCGCCCGGAGTGCGGAAGGTCGCGGGTTCGATCCCCGACCGCGTCATACCAAAAGACGTTAAAATATGGTACCTGTTGGTCCCTGCCTGGCGCTCGGCATTAATGGGTACAACAAGGACTGGTCGGCTCGGAGTCAGTATAATGTGTCTGAGTGGGGTATTCATGCTTCACTGCGGCATGGTATCTCAGTGGGCTAGCACTATAAAACCAGCATCAGTCTGGGCTAGTACAAGCAGCCGCACATACACATACACACGCATGCACGTCGTCATATGAGCGAAATATTCTCAAGCACGACGTTAACACAATTCAACCACCACCCTAAAGTACAACATGCAATGTCTACCTTTACATTATAAATCGTACAGCATCGTATCCAAGATTTGCCATTACACCAGAAATCGTATGGTATTATATGTAATATCCACCCACCAGTAAAACTCCTATAGTGCATGTAAATCCTGTGATATCATAGTACATGTAAATCCTGTGATATCATAGTACGTGTAAATCCTGTGATATCATAGTACATGTAAATCCTGTGATATCATAGTACATGTAAATCCTGTGATATCATAGTACATGTATATCCTGTGATATCATAGTACATTTAAATCCTGTGATATCATGTGTTCTTTGCCATGTTCCTTGTTATTTGGATGCTTCGCTCTAGTGATGCTGAGGTTCCGAGGATATTCCGTGTTCTCATTAAATGAACATGACTCTTCAGACAAAGTCTGATGGCTGCTTTGTGCTTTTGTCCTGTAATCTAGCTTATTACAACCATTATGTAACGTTAGGTAAAGAAAGTTTGAGACATTTATATAGCTCTCTGCTCTGGCCATTAAGCAATTATATCACAGATCAATGGCCCTCTATGTAAACGGACGCTCGCCAATTTCCATCGCAAGTTAAACCCGCTGTGGGATATTCTCAGACTATTTCATTTGAACAATATCTAGCCTTCAACAGATTAGCGTGACTGTTTCCCATAGCTCAGCCGGTAGTGTGCATTTCCGGAAGGTTTATTCCTTGCTTTGATGGGCGCGTTTCCCCAGGTTCGCCTCCGTGTCAGTCCAATTAGCCGCGGTTACATGGCAGTAGTATCATGCGCAGATAAAACACTATGTATGCCCGATTCATCCCTCTAGCAAATTACATTTGCATACAGTTGCAATAAAGCAAACATTAGTGGAGTATAGATAATCCTTGTGCTAACAAGAACAGGGTTTTTGTCATTCTGGGCCTGTCATGCTCACTCTTTCTTTCCTGACGTGAAGCATTATGGGTAGGGAGGCTATTTCCGGTGGCACTGACTGTATGTCGCACCGTTGTGTCATGCGAATATCACAGATGTACATTCCGTTTCGTTTTATACTCATGTCTATTTCCTGTGAATTACCATACATTGAGTGACGCCCGGTGTTTATATAATCTCCTAAAATAGTTGGAGATATTTGAAAATAGCCGATGACTACAGAAGAAACAAAGACGCATGGAGTGATGGCAATAGCTGGGAACATGAAGGTGTAGGTGTCACGTGACAGTCAACAAAACATGGCGG